CCCTACAAGCCCTAAAGCCCTAAAGCGCTGAAGCCTCGTAGTCCCCAGGCTCTTGTCAGCTCCCTGGTGCCTGGGTTGTGGCCCTCCAGCTGCTCGAGGATGCGAGGAGATCGGAGCTCCCTCTGACGCCCGGCCGGTCCTTTAAGGGGGTTCCCTCTCAGGGGATCCTTTTAAGGTTTTTTTTGTTTTAAAGGGGTCCTTTAAGGGTTCCTTGAAGGGTTTACGGTTTTGGGTTTGGGGTTTAGGGTTTGGGGTGTGGGGTTCAGGGTTTAGGGTTCTATTTTAAGAGGTTCCTTTGAGGGCTTCGGGTTTCAGGTTTTTTTGTTAGCAGGTTAGTTTAGTCTAGGACATTTTTAGGTGGGTAGTTACCGTTATCGGAGCCTTATAGAAGGTCTATATACCTTATGGAAGCCTTATAGAAGCCCTATATACCCTAAACTCCCCACCTGTAGTTTCCTTTACCAAAACCCTAAACCCCAAACCCTAAACCCTAAACCCTAAAACCCTAAAGCCCTACTTGAGGGTATTGGAGATTTGCACCATGTTTTGGGTTAGTTTAGGGCCATTTTGCGGTTTGGCGTGTTAGAGTAATCTGGTGGACGATTCGAGGTTGTGCTTTTTTTAGGGCGGTCCCACAGCGCCGACTCCCCTTTTTCGATCTACCCGCCTTGATCCCTAAACGCTCCCCCAAACCCTAAAGCCCTGAAGCCTTCCCGCGCTTGAGCCGAGGAATCTCATGAGCTACACTTCCACCATCAGCGCTTTAGCCGGCTCTGCCCAATGGCAAAGGCACTGGGCTGTGTGCATCGAGAGATCCACTGGATATCCGACAAACTTTTAGGGTTTAGAGTTTCCCTTAGCTGTCAACCGTAAACCCTAAACCCTAAAGCCCAAACCAACCCTGAACCCGTAAACCCTGAACTCGAAACCGGGGCCGAAACCAAACGGTTCTCTTCAAAACCAGCATTAAACCCTAAACCCTAAACCCAAACGGTTCTCTTCAAAACCAGCATGAAGGTCCCTGTCGTTGTTTTTCGGCCTCCGCGACCAGCAACTCACGCCGGATGTCGTGAGTTACAATGCGGCCATGGATGCCTGCAACTCGCCACAGAACCCTTGTTACTTTAGTAGGTCTATGATTCGTTTTGCTATTGTAGTTTTAATCGTTGAGTGTATTCTTATTACTCACCTGACTTTTCTTATTATCATTATTATTGCTGCGATATTATTACAAGCACTGTAACCGCTCTTATGACTAGTGTTACTGCGTATAATAGTATAGGTTTCAGGGTTGATCCCTGGACCAAGCTGCCCGCAACTCCCTTTTTTTCTGGTGTATCTAGTGCTCGGCAGCGACGTCTGGAAAACTCCTGACCGCAAATCAACTTCGAAGACGTCAAGATTCAGGGTTTCAGGATTCAGAGTTTTCCCTAAACCTTTCAAATAAAACCCAAACCCTAAACCCTGAACCCTAAAGACCAAACCCTAAACCCTAAACCCTGAAGAGCTCAACCAGAGGAACCGTTGAGTCAGCAGCCCTAAAGGTGCAAGCGCAAAGGCTCTAAACACAGCACAACTCTAAGCTCTAAGCTCCCCGAGCTAAAGCTCCACCAGCCCTACACCCTATACCCCCAACTCTAAACCCTAAGCCCTCCACCACCCAAAAGAATCTTAGTAGACCCTAGGCCCCAAGCCTCATAGAATCTTCGTAGACCGTAAACCTCATAGAAACTAAGTAGACCCTAAACCTCATGGAATGCTGGTAGAGAGCCCCCCAGCCCTAAACCCCTAAACCCCTAAACCCCTAAATCCCTAAACCCCTGAACCCCTAAACCCCTAAACCCCTAAACCACTACAACCCCTAAACCCCTAAACCCCTGAACCCCCAAACCCCTAAACCCCTAAACCCCTAAACCCCTAAACCACTAAAATCCCTAAACCCCTAAACCCCTGAACCCCTAAACCCTTAAACCCCTAAACCATAGCCAAAGGTAAGAGCTCCCTGGAAGGGCCCTGCGATAGCTGGCCCTGGGCTCTGCAACTTTTTGAGCTGCTGAAGGAGGAGACTGAAGGCAGGGACTGGGATTCTTTAGAGGTTTTGGGTTAAGGGGTTTAGGGTTTAGGGTTTGGGGTTTAGGGTTTAGGGTTTAGGGTTTAGGGGTTAGGGTTCAGCGGTTAGGGTTTAGGGTTTAGGGTTTAGGCCGCTTTGGGTTCAACAAAAGAGGAACTATGAGGGTTCCGATAAGGGATCTTTCTTTGAGGTTTAGGGTTTAGCGTTTATGCTGGGATCCCTGGGATTTGCTATAGGGACCTAGATAATTACCTGTACTATTTTTTTTTTTTAGGGCTCGAATCGCCTGTAGCGTGCTTCAGGAACATCCCGCCCCAGCACCCACAGTGGTGCGACTTGCGAGCCATTGACAAAGCTGTGCGCTCGCCTGGGTGGCACCGCCGCGTGCGGTCCACTCGTTCGAAGGGCCGGAAGGCTTCGCGCCTCGGCTCGGTGCTGACGCATCGCCAGCGCGCAGCGCTCATCGTTCATCACGCTACCCCGCTGGACACTCGCTGGAAGCTGTGCCGGATGGGTCGCGGAGACCGATGGAAGGGACGCGGCGATGGAGGATCTGCCCCACAGGGGCGATCCTGGCAGCTCTGGTCTGGAGCGCAGTCTCCCAAGGCCAACGGTGGCGGCCCTCCATGGAAGAAGGGCTCAGGAAAAGCTGCTGGCAAGCCAGGGGAGAGATTCCCAGCCTACGATGCGAGGCCACCAACAGCAGAAGGACCTGCGGGTCCGAAGCGTGCCGAGACCCAGGCTCCCGCCATGGACGACGATGGGGAGGAGGCTCTCGTACCTGGGGTTCAGAAGGCCTTGAACGGGGCCCGCAAGGCAGAAGCCAGGGTGGCCAAGCTGCTCAAGGACAAGAAGAAGGCCGAGATGCAATGGGCCGACTACGTGAAGGATTCCCGTGCAGCCTATATCAGGGAACACGAGCGGCACTCGAAGGCTCTCACCGTGTTCGAGAAGGACATCCAAGAGGCTCTGATACAACAGCAGCATGCCAGGAGGCTACTTCGGTGTGCGGCCATCCAGGAGGAGCTGCCGGTGGAAGAGACAATGGAGGTGGAGAGGTCCGATGCAGGCATGGAATGGGAGCATCTGGTCTCTCACTGGGAGCAAGAGCAGGCCCTTCAGGACGACGCATTGCTGCGTCGAGCTTTCCAGGAGAGGGAGGATCAGTCGAGATCGTTCCGGACGCCGTCGCTACGCCGGGCTCCTCCCCGCTCACCGCCTGCCTCGACAGCCATGCCACGCTCCAGGTCCGATCACGAGCCTCCAGCTACAGGTGTCGAACAGTCTCTCGAAGCAGCCTCAGCACCCTATGCCTCTGCTTCTCCGACTGTTACAGTCCGGGCAGACCCGTATCCTACGCCCCCCTCGAGCCACCAGGAAAGGGCCTTGCCAACAGAGTCTGCGATTTCCACTACGTGCAGTGCTGGGCTACCTCCCAAGACGGGTACTTCGCCTTTTCCCCCTGCCTCGAAAACTGGGCCAGGCGCAGTTCGGACCAGCGTGAAGGAAGCCACCAAAGGAAAGCCGGAGAAGCCGAGCATCCATGGCGATATTTACGACAAGCTTCAAGCCAAGAGGGCGGCCTTGCTCCCCTTTGGGCGCCCGCCAGAGCTGTTGCCATCGGAACCACCGGGGCTTTTTCCGGAGTTGCATCGGACTACTTCGCCGACCCCACCTCCAGGGCTCATCGACGACGACCAAGACCTACAGGAAGCAGCCTCGGACGCCCCCTCTGGGCTGACGGATCTGGAGTGACGCATGGTAGGCAAGGGCCCCTGACTCAATGGCCCCATCCTACTGGGATGTGCAGACTAGTGGGAGGTGTGTGGATTAGGGCTTCATTGGGGAAGTCCTCTTCCCCCGGCCCCTCTGGTCAATGCCTCTCATCTGGATGGTGTGCCAGTGCTGTCTTGTGGCCCTTGCGGTTTCACACAATTTTGGGTGCCTTTTCTCCTGCCGGCCTCTCTCTGTTCCCTTTGCGGCAGGCCATCATCTGTGTGCAGTGGATTTTTACCCGATCGTCCCTTGCTGTATCCGCACTTCGTCCAATCTTCCGTCGCTTGCTGTCTTCCTCGGCAAGGCTTTTCTTTGGCCTATGCCCCCGCCATGGATTTCTCCACTGCGCTGAGGACCAATGTGCTGCCACATGTCTTCTCTCCTCCATTTCGACATTTCGTCGAGTTCCCTTATTGGAGTGTATTCTGTGTCGTCGTGCGCCGAACACTGGTATCGGTGGCTCAGGGACCAGGGCCGACGACCCCCACTACCAACCCAATTTTGATATCGTTCAAGGATCACCTTGGGTTTCCTTCCATTCTGCGCATGACCGTGAGGACCCCCACAGGTGCCTAATAGATACATCGGTGGCTCTGGGGTATCAACCTGTTGAGGTGGTCTCCGCTACTGCGCCTTCTTCGTGCTGCTTGGGCGCTCCTCTTCTGCAGCCGATGCCCTTAGGGTTTGTCCCTTGGCCCCCAGGCCCTTTCTCGGTTCTTAGGGTTGTCGATCTCGCCCGTCTCCCTAGCAGCCATACGGACTGTCTAGGCCTTCCGTGGCTCGCAGTGCAAGCCACTCCCCTTCTCAGCAGTCAATCTGTTCTTGCAAGCTTCGCATGGCTATCAGCGCAAGCCGCATCTCTCCTTCTTGGCATTTTGCTTCTTTTGCACCTTGCCTTGAGCCGGCTCCTGCTGTGCCAGTTGGGCTTTCACAGATCCCCTTTGGGCAGGCTCTTTCTTTTCCAGCCTTTGCCTCCTTGTAGCGGTGCCCTTCTCCCGGTTGGACGCATCGGTGCGACTGTTCCGATTCTCGCCTGGCATGCTTCTCCTCGAAGGTCTTCGCATAAGCCACGAGGGAGGTCAGGTCTGAATTTCGGCCAGAAAATCCTCTGTCTCCTTGCGATCGCCAACCTGCCCTTTCAGGTCTATGCCTCACCGCCTGGCCTCATAACGGCTCTGGCTGCAGCCGACCGTATTGTTCTTGGGCTACCGGAACCGCTCCCACAGCGTACTCCAGAGCAAGCTGCGGGTACGGGTAGGACTAGTGCCTACCACCCACCCCTTGGTGTTGATACCCTCGCTCTACCCCTGCCAAGAGAGCACTTCGCCGATGTCCCGCCAAAGTCCTGGTTAGGAGTTGAGGTCTACGCCCCAGGTTTTCGAAGGACTTCTTTCGGCTTGAAGATGGGACCTTGCCCCACCCTCATTGTTACTCTCAAGCAGACTGCCAGGTATTACACCACCCTTCATCAGCATCACGACCGCCTCGCACCCATCAGGCCTCAGAGGTACGAAGGTACAGCGATGTTTGTCGCATTCCCAGGCTGTCTTGACTCGTTGCAGCTCAGAGCAGTCATTCTCGATCTTTCACAGGTCCATGACCAATACTTTGCAACCGTGCTGCCCAGCCCCTGTCCGTGGGAGCAGCTACGCGAAAGAGTTGAAGAGGTCACGGGAGGCGAACTTGCTGATTGGGTCGTCTGGGTCGGTCCGCACCGACACCAGTTACAGCCACCTGTTGCATTCGCGCTTGAACATGGCGATGTTATACAGGTTTTGCCAGCAGGCATTGAGCCAAGCCGGCCCATTTCCATCAGCCAGCTCTTCGACCCTAATGCACAATGGACCAGCCTACACCACGTTTCCTGTGAGAATCTGCTACCTGGCTTTGCAGTTCACATGCGTGGCTCTGTGCGCCCCTTTGAGGGTAGACACCTAGACAGTGTCAATGCCCGCTGCAGGATCGGCCAGATATTAGGGGTAACTGATGATGATCTTTACCTCAGGACGCTGGCCGGCCTCTCTGATCTTGATGTTTTCGGGGAGCCCTGCCACTGTTTGGTTGTGGCAGCCTCCGTCTCCTGCCTGCTTGCCAAGTTTGGTAGGGTTCCCTTCACCCTGGTCTTTGATGCCCGTCCCATAGGGTTAGGTTTTCACGTGCTCCACACGGTGACTTGGGAACACAGCCCTACACAGCTAGCTGCCAGCCTCGGAGTCACTATCGACCACTACTACCACCTTGACTTTAGAGTTATGGCTACGGCCGAACCACCAAGTCTCGGCTGTTGCTTTGTTGAAGTGTCCTGGCAGGAGGGCGCAGGTCGCGGGCCGCCCCTCCTTGCATTCGCTCCCGGCCCTTACTGGATCCAGGCCATCACTGAGGCCATGCAGCAGACTGCACAGGCAGGGGATACTGCTATGGATGGGCAGGTCTTCCGTACCGGGCCACAGCCCGACAGAGCCGGTTCAGAGACGACCTCCGAAGCATCCGAGGTTTCTGACCACACTCCCACATACCTTGCGCGCTTCCTCATACTCACGAGGCATCACGCCACCCAAGTCGTCAGTGTCAGGCTTCAGAGGCCAGCAACAGCCCAAGCAGCCCTTGATGCAGTCTCCTTTGCCCTTGACAATGACTTCTACAGTCTCTTCTCACAGTTGGTTCCGGCCGCACAGCAGCTCTCCCCTAACTGGGGTACCATCCTTGCACTTCCTGCGTGGGCCCAGGAGGAGCCGCTCAGCATCTTCGACCTCCGTGAGTTGGACGGCAGAGTCTTTGCCACGGACATGCCACAGCGAGTGACATACGCAGTCCTTGTTGCCAAAGCCGAACTTGATCCCGGCATCAGGTATCACATATACCCGTTCGGCGCTGGTCAGCCATTAGCCGAAGATGGTGAGTTGCAATTGGTCCCCTACGGAGTTGTCCGCTTTTGCCGGCAGGGAGCGCCAGTTCCGCACGCACCTGAGCTTGCCCATATGCTTGCCAATCTTGCGCATTGGGTTGAGGACGACGTTATTCCGGTCGATGGTACGTGGAACCGAGCGACTCAGGTCTGTCTAGTGCATGAACAGGGCATACAAGCTTTCACACTTCTACCAGGCAGAGCTGCACATCATCACTTAGACGTGGCCAATGCCCTTCGACTGCCCCTCCATTGGACGACCATTCAGCTCGCGCACCCACCTCTTCGAAATGTGGCTTTGGAAGGCAGGCTCTGTAAAG